CATTTTCTAATAATTGTAGGTCATTTATTTAATAATCTGAACCTGACATTTGCCGATACATTTCAAAACGTGATTCAGGAGCATTGAAATTTTCCTAACAATATGTATTCAGCTTCATTCTTTTGAAACAAACATGGAATCAATTGAATGCATCTGTAATTGTTATTAATGACTGAAAAGTTTGTGGTGATAAAGTTTCTTTTATTGGGACAGAATGTCAAATATGCTATTAGAAAGAAATAATCAAAACAAGGAATTCCTAATTTACTATTCCAAACAAATGTTCAAAACAACACTACGCGAAACGTCCAAACTAATGTATTCTATGTTATGTTAAAACGAAATACTTGAATAGGATTGAGAACAGCTACAAATTTTCCCAAATAAATATAAAAATTAAAAAAGTATAAAACGAAGTATAGATAAAAATATTATTTACGTTAGCATAAGTGATTTAAAATCACTTAATAGCAAAATATACATCCAAAAAATCCACGACCACGAGTTCACAACCACACACTACCACAAAAATACATCAACCATCTTGATCACGTGACTTTTGCGCTTCAAGGCCATTATAGAGTTGGCTGTGATATAGCTTTTTGTCTTGTGTTCGAGAACATTCTGCAATAGTAAGAATTCGTTCCAGAAGGTTCTCCATCCGTCTGTGGCAGTATCACCAATTTTGTCGCCAAACATGACAACCCTGCCTTCCCTTGCCATTTTCTGGCAACCCTAAACCCGCTTTGCGAAGAAAAGTAGGAAAAAATGTCAAAATTAATTCAGATTACTATCAGAAATATGTTTCAACACCTATTTTTAAAGAAGAAATTCAATCTCTTTATTCAAACAATCTTCACTGTGTTAAGTTCCATCAGGATAAGGCTCTAAGCCACATATCTAAGCCTACTGCTATATTTTCTGAAAAAATGAAACTTGAATTGAATCTGTTTCCTTTAAATGCATCCCACCCAAGTCCCCTGATGTGTCTCCTTTGGATTACTGTGCATTTGGGCTTTTAAAACAAGTTCTTTATAAGCAGCATCTGAAAACATTGGAGGGACTTTGGAAGATTGTAAAGGAGAAGTGGAATAAAATCAAATCTGATGTTTTAAGAAAAGGACTTTTATCTTGGAAATCAAAATGTAATATGATAGTTCAGCAAAAGGGCTATTAGATTGAATTAAAAAATAAAATTCTAAGGTTTGTATATATATATATATATACAGGGGTGGCCAAAATTGTGGACACTTGGAAATTTTTATGTTTTTGAACTTTGTATGCTTATAGAAAACGTTACGTTTCACAAAATGCAAACTTGTATATATCATTTTAAAGAGAATTTATTACTGAATTCAATACAAACACAAAAATTCAATTATTTGCAATACAAAAAAGTTTAAACGATAATAGTTATCGATATACATTAGATAGTGATGATTGCAGTGAGTTATCAGTACTTAGTAGGGTACCCTTTATTTTTTATTACAGCTTCACACATCGACGTTTCATTGAGCTGACAAGATTTTTAAGCTCTTCTTTCGTTATTACATGATACCAGGAAACAATTATAGCCTCAATTAGTTCCCTTTTATTTGATGGGCGCCTCATTCGGACAAGAGTTTTCAAACAGTGCCACAAATTTTCTATAGGATTGAGGTCAGGACTGTTTCCTGGCCATTACAACAATTTAATGCTCTTTGTACGAAACCACTCTTTCGATATTTTGGCCGTGTGGCTAGGAGCAGAATCCTGCTGAAAAACTAAACGAAGCATTGTTGGGAAACAGATCTTCTCCGATGGAAGGTAGAAGTTTTGGTTCTAGAAAAGTGTCAATGTATTTTCTGGCATTCAGTGTCCATCGATAACATGAAAGCGACCAATACCATCTGCTGACGTGCACGACCAAATCATAACACTAACTGGGTTCTTCACAGTTGCTTGAATGCAGTCAGGATGTAGCTCTTCTCCTATTCTACATCTTACATATTTTCACCCATCAATACCGAATAACGATATCTTAGTTCATCATCACTCCATATAACTTGTAACCATTAATCATCTGTCCAACTAATGTGTTCCTTTGCCCACTGTAGTCTTTTTTTTTTTTTTTTTTTTTTTTTTTCGTTGCTGAAAATTAAGATAAGGCTTTTTCGTGGAATTCTGAATTCTACCTCTTACTCCAACATCTGTTAATCTTCACCTGATTGTTCTTGAACTGACAGAAACACCAGTGTCATTCAGATCACTTCTGATGATCGCTGATGACTTTTTTTTCTATCTTGGAGACATAGTCTTTTTATTCTTCTGTCATCAATAGATGTGGTGCACGACGTTTTTTTCGGCCTTTTCCTTCTTTGTTTTTTATTGAATTTGTCTCCTGATATCGTAAAAAAAACTTTCGGACTCCAGGTGTAGTCACCGAACAACCCACCTGTCTTGCAATTTCAGCATAGGAAAGACCACTTTCTCGTAACACAATAATATTACATCTCTTTCTAGGTGTCCAATCAACTCTTTTGTTTGATGTCATTCCTTCTTGACTAAATATTAAACATTTTTACAAAAATTCCTACTTGTAATTGCAGAGTATAAGGAACAGATCCTCCTTCTGCAGAACGAAGCAAAATAATGAATTGTTTCAAGTGTAAACATGATGTCAGCTTCTACTGGCAGTTACTAACATTTGATTGGTTCTCAGAACAAGAACAGTGATTGGCCGGAATAGCTAGACATTACAAACCACTTCATAACTGTGTTTTTTATTTATATTAAAGTACATATAACTTTTTTGTATTGCAAATAATTGAATTTGTGTTTTGTATTGAATTCAGCAATAAATTCTCTTTAAAATGATGTATACAAGTTTGCATTTTGCGAAACGTAACATTTTCTATAAGCATGCAAAGTTCAAAAACATAAAAAATTTCCAAAAGTGTCCACAATTTTGGCCACCACTGTATATATAAATATTTAAAAAAATTGTTACAAAAGTGTGTGAACACCATCCAAAGAAACACTCTGCTGTTCTGGAACATTTCACAAAAGCACTTGTAGAGCTCATCTTGGTATTAGAAAGCATAATCATTAGTTAACACAAACCACTAAGAATGTTAAACACAATGCAATGCAAAGGACATCTAAAATGTGAAGCTCTCGAAGATATCTCAATATTCTTAAGTCAGCTCTAAACACAGAGCAGATGCTCTCTCTAATCTTACATCATTTTAAGTTGGCCGGTAATAATCTCTAGATCTGTCTGTTCATGAAAATTACTGGAAGGTATGTATGGCTAAAGATATATCTAAGGGCTGGATATGGTCGCAGTTACATATAGGAATCAATTACAATATCAATTATAGTTGTACAGGGACTTGACGAAAATCTTGTCAAATGGTCGCTAAGTTTGGCGAGTTTTTGGCGATTTCTTGCCAAATTTGATGGAAAGAATTAGTTGCCAAAACCATCACCAGCTTGTTGATATCTCGCCAATTTAGTGAGAAAGTAATCTCAATTTTAAATAGACTTGCTCATGTAGTCTTATTTTTCAGGACAGAGCTTCGTCTTCTCAGACTTTTCATGTTACATTATGAAAAGGTACTACAATTTTACATGTATTTTACTAAAATTATTTATGATATATATAAAATTCATAACAGTACAATAAGGCTGATAGATAATTTGAAGAGCAAATTTAAGGCAATTTTTTTGAACGCGCTTCTGATTATATTTTGTTAAAGACTTCTTTTTAATCATACAGATAAATACTTATGATGTATATGCATAAGTACTGTATAAATTGGATTTTTTTTACATGTTTTATATAAATTTTCTTTAAATAGCAAGTGGTTTCTGTTGACAGAAAATGTTTAATGATTCTGAGATAATAATGTGTGTGTGTGTGTGTATTTAATTACGGCAAAGCACACTAGGGCTATCTGCCTAAGAGGAGGGATGCCTTTCGTGGAGGACTTTCTAAGGGAAACTGGCTCGTATACACGTTACACATGGGGAAAACCACGAAAACACCCATGCAGCCGGCCCGTTCGCGGGATTCGAACCTCGGACCGAACTACCAGTGTTCAGCGACTTTACCGCTCGGCCTGCTGGTGGGCTCTGAGATAATAAGAAGCATTTGCTATGAGATGTCATATAGTACTATATATTTTATGTTCAAAATGTTGATTATTTATTTAAGATTCAGCTTTATCATGTCAATTTTATAAAGTTATTTTATGTACTGCTTTAAAGATGACCTAGTGTCTGAGTGGTTAAGACTGCTGAATACTGGTAGTTCGACCTGGCCTGGTTTTGAACCCAAGCAAAAAGGCTGTGGTTGATTTCCGTTGTTTTTCCGATAAATGAATATGAGCCAGTTTCCTTAAGAAAGTCCACCATAAAATAAACCACCTCTTAGGCAGATAGCCCTATTGACTTTCCCATATTCAAATGACCTAACATATCCTAAGTATAAAGTAACCAAATTTTAATTTGCTTTTAGTTGTATAATAGGAGTTTAAAAGATATAAAAATAATTACAATTGGAAAAAAGGAAATGTTTGGGTGCAGTTTCATAAAATTCTTGCCAAATCACGTATGCTCAGTTTGTTGTTAGATCATCCTATCAAATATTGTGTTCTATTTAAATAAACAATGTAAACATTATTTCGATGAATACAGTTGTTTAGGGGAGGGAAGAATAAATTTCAAATAAGGATAAATGACATTGTAAACCCCCAAATTCAACTAGATTTAGGTATTTTAAAATGCAATGCATTATTGTTATGTAATCATGTGGATAAATACTTAGATTTTAATGAATTAAAAATAATGAGTGCTTGTGCTAAAAAAATATAATTAATTTATAATACATGTGGGTTAAAGAATTACGTTATTTATAAACATAAAATGTAGTTTAAGGAGTTGCTTAAAAAATTTCAGTACTAAATACATTTTTTATACAGATGATTTTAAAATTATTTCTTGTTACTTTATTCTAGGTGATATTGCTTGGAGGTTGTATGATACATATGGATTTCCTGTTGATTTAACACAGCTGATGGTTGAAGAAAAAGGTCTGCAGATTGACATGGTCGGATATGAAGAAGCAAAAAAACAAGCTCAGGTGAGACCACCTCCCCCATATACACACATTAGTGAAGTACACTACAAAGTCCAAAATCCAGACTTTCAGTATCCAGAATGATCTAAACAAAAATCTGTAAAATTTAGGGAAAACACTGGTGCACAAAATTTAAGGGCAGAAAAAATTTTAGAATTTAGGGAGGTACTTCACAGCAGAACTTCAGACCCACATACAGTGGCGTAGCTAGGGTGGGGCAAGGGGGGACATCTGTTCCCGGGCGCAGCATCCAAGGGATGCCAAATTTGATGCTGTGAAATTCTTTAATAAAATATTTTCCATTCTTAGCACACAGAAAGGGGCTCAAATTCTTCAGTTGTACCTGGGTGCTGGAATCTCTAGCTAAGCCCCTGCCCACAAATGTTGCACCTGGTTGCAAAATGTCTCGTGCATGCTTTGTATAAGTATATGTGGGAATTTATTTATTTGGAACTCAGATAAACTTTAAGAATGTGTGAAAAAGAGATACAAGTATAATAAATAACTAAACTAATATAACTCAGACATAACTTCATCAACGAATTTACCCTGTAATTTATGAAATAAAGAACAATTATGATCTAAAGGGTATCAAAATTTACAAAAAGAAAAAGCTTAATATTTATTTGTTTACTTTATTAAACATTTTTTTCCATGTAAGTTGTTTAAGTTGCTTTGTTTCATGTAATAATACTTTCTCTTTAATTCTATTAAACAGACATAATTTCTCGTTGAGTTACAAAGTCCCGCTGTTCAAGTCCTATAATTGCTGTGTCGAGAATACCGACTAATTTTTCAATCGAAATTTTTTCGTTTTCAATAACCTCTGTCACTTTCTTCACTATCGGAAGCGAATCATAATGACGAGGAACTTGTTTTAAATCATATCAAAGACGGAGTACATCGAGATGAAATACTACATTTAGTAAAGAATTATAACCCAAATAAAATAAAAACATCTGCCTTGAAGATAAGGATAGTGCTGACAGATCAACTTCCAATTCATTGCGCGCCGCGGCGTTACCCCCCCGTTCCCCCCGCCGTGCAGCGTGAAATTTATAAACAGATTTCGGATTTCGAAACATACTTTCGCTTTAGATCCTTTACATATTAGCAAATATATATCGGAAATTCTATTTGATATAATCGAAAGTTCAAGCTTACTTTTATAAAATTGCTCTAACAGTCTGCAAAAGATAATAAGCCAGATCCAATTCGAAGATTAAGGAACAACGCAATCTGCAACATTAACTGAATTAGGTAATTTTAGCTTTGCTTATACCGTCTGTTATACATTAAATGTGCATGCGTAAATGTTTTATGCGCACGTGCACACGCATATTCACAGCCGTAAAGGTCTTAGGCGCACACGTAAACGCCGCGACGCATGCGCAGAAAGTTTGTAGCTTTGAGGTCCGGATTATGGGTGTCCAAATTAATGACTTTTGACTGTACAAACTTTCTGTTTTAGCATAAAGAGTATTGGAAGGAAATCTGAATTAAATAATTTTAATTTAGGTACTTTAAATTTCATATAAGTAACAATATTGTCGTTTAGATAGCCTCAATTTTAAACATTTCATTGAGCATACTTGTGATTACGTGTTTATTTGAAATTACCAAAACTGCATTTAGTATATGTGCTTTTATAGAAAACAATTTTAAGAAAAAAATTCTGTGGCTTATTTTTTTAATAATTCTCTTTAATTTTCAGCTCTTATCTCAAGCAAAAGGTGATGCTGGTTCAGATGACATTAAACTAGATGTTCATGCAATTTCTGAATTGCAAAGTAAAAACATTCCTGCAACAGATGACATTCCCAAGTATTCCTATCGTGCTGTGAGTGATAGTCCTGAATCTAAATATGGTACAAGAATTTTGTTAAATTTTTGTTTTTTATTGAGTACTTGTAGCATTATTTTTTCCCTCATCTTCATATTTTATCATATGGTGAAGAAATCAACACTTTAATAATAATTAAAACTCTAAAAATTAAGAAAAATTTGAACTTTTTCCATAATTTTTTTAATCTCACTTTCAATTTGAAAAAAAAAAATGAAAAAAAAAATAAATCGCACCAATATTGTAAAAACCTACTCTAACTGTAATAATAAACAAATACAAGAAAATAGAAAAAGTTTACATCTCCTGGTAACCTCAATTTTAAACATTTCATTGAGCATACTTGTGATTACTTGTTTATTTGAAATTATCAAACTGCATTTAGTATATGTGCTTTTATAGAAAACAATTTTTTTTAAAAAATCTGTGGCTCATTTTTTTTAATAATTCTCTTTAATTTTCAGCTCTTATCTCAAGCAAAAGGTGATGCTGGTTCAGATGACATTAATAATTCCTTTGACATTAATAATTTTTTAATAATTCCTTCAGGGGGTTGGTGCACGAAGAAAGGCAAAATAAGCCTGTTTCTGAGCTAGTAGATGCACAATTAAATATAAAAATTTTAATTTGATTTAACTTGAATTTAATTATCTACGTATATATATATGTAAAGTTCTAACGTTAATTTGCAATAGTTCCTTAACTGTACATTTTAATTTGGATGTTTCCCTTTTCTGTCCTAAAAATAGTAGTTGCTTATAATCCCTCTAAACTACATTGTTTCAAAATTAATAGTTATCATATGACTTAACACTGATAATATACATGATTTAAATAATTGAAACTCAACCAGTCAGTAATAATTTTAGAGTGATATTAATTAGGTATTTTGGGGTGCATATTGCTGGAAAAGACTAGTTTCATCAGCATTGTCAACTAAAATGCTTGGAGACTGAAGAAATGTTTTTGCTCTAAGAGTAGTCATGGTAGCAGATGTTATGAATTGATAGCTTGTGCCATTAGGTGGCGCTCCGAACGTCTTGTCTCTGTTGATATTCTGTAACTTATTTTAGTTTGATGGAAGATCGAAGGTATTAAGCCTAACAGTGATGAAGGCATTTGCCTAATAATAATGTTTGTAAACCAGTGTATTATATTTTAAATAAAACATGTGTGTATTAATAATGAAGCAAATGATCACTTACCTCTGGAATTAATGCTCTCTGATGATAATGGAATTAGTTATTACAGATGTGGAATCTGGAAATTCAATGCATCCAGCATTGAATTTCCAGGTTTCGAGTGCCTCTTCAGTTAGTTACATTCCGATCAAAGAAGGAATTATTTTTTGGCTGTAAGTAAAGAACTCTGCAAACTACTAGGCATAGACAAAATCTGAGCTACATCTTACATTCATTATCAGGCGGCAAGGTAGAGAAGTTTAATCAAATTATCCTCGATGTCTCGCTGATGATTTCCAGAAACTAACAAGACTGGGACCAGAAGTTACCTCTGTTCTTACTGGCATATAGCACTGCTGTCTATGAGACTACTGGCTATTCCTCACTCAAGATGCTGTTAGGTCGTGGCTTTCATATGCCTTGTGATATCTTATTTGTTCGCCCTCCAAATGCATCTTTATCCAGGGTTGCCACTCTATCTGTAAAACCGGAAAAAGTCAGGGAATTCCAAAATTGACCCAAAATAGTCGGGGGGAAAAGTCAGGGAATTTCATATTGCGATCCTCTCCCCAAAAAGCGAGTTTTGCACCAATGTTGGAAGCGATCACTTTCTTGGGGAATTATGTATTGTATGAGCATCATTCGGGCAGCTGGTGTAGAGCCAATTTTCACAGCTCCAATCAGATTGTGTTTTAGAAAGGCAAAGCAAGTTTCCAGCAACTTTGGTTTCCACTAACCTGGAGAATTGAGAGACTCGCATGTGCATGTACAGTGCATGTTGAACTGAAGAAAATATCTTCCCATTCTCATACAAAATTGGTTTAATCCTAGTATATGGTACCATGGAATTTAGAATAGTCTCCATGTAATCTATTCTTACTTCCATGAAGGGTACACACAGGATTTGGCGATATTATGATGAGTAAATGGATCATTTTGGTGTTGGCAACAATTTTCAAAATTGTGCCAAGGGTAGGATTATACTAGGATTTTACTGAAAAATCTTTTAAACTTTTTTTTTTTAAATACATGCCTTATTTTTCATTTTGCAGTAAAATGAAAAAAAATTGCAATCTGTCATCTAGGCTTATATTTGCCAAAATATTGTTGAGTATTGTAATTCAATTTTTAAGTAATTAACTTTATTTTAATGTTATTCATATCATTTAATGTTGCTTCTTTCCTCTAAAATTATTTATTATTAGTTAATAATACTTTCAAATTTCAGGCAATTTTTTCTGGCATAATTCTGAAATTAATTCTAGCAGTAGGATGGCATACTATCACAAAATGTAATACACATATTTTTGCTTATATAAGCTTCTAAATAAATATAAAATACCTGAATTTATTTTAAAATGTCATTAAATAGATTTCTTTCGTTTTTTTTTTCGCAAATGTTTGCAAAAAAAGATATTTTTTTAATCCAGATTGGGCAGATTCTAATCTCAGTCTTCAGTGGAGAAAACAACTCCTGTTATTGTTATAATAATAATGCTTTGGAGATTATATATTATGTGTATATATATATATATATATATTCTCCTGTTTGAGCGGCAACCCTGATATTTACTGGTACAGTTTGAGGAGATGCACAATTTTGCTGGAGAGCGAGTTAATTTGGTGATAGGAACATGAAGACTTGATATGAAGCAAGAGTATAATTCAGCGACGATGACAGGTGTGGTTATGGAATCTGTTTCAATGGAAAGGACTTTATCCTGAACTACAGTCACTGTGGCAAGGTCTTTATACAGTCCTAAACAGGCTGAATGATGCTGTAGTTCAGATCCATAAGACATCAAATTCTAAGCCTAACATCGTTCATAGCAACAGGTCATACTATGGACATAATACGTTGAACCCATAGTGTAATAGAATACTAAAGCTCCTTGAAAATTTGATAGTAAATCATTGTTTCAGCTCTTTGTCAGTTTTCATTGTTCACAAGAGCAAAACAAAGGACACTACGAAATATAAATCCGACTTCTTGCTGCTGAGAGTCTAATGGTTAATGAAGCTCCAGTGTTTTTCTAACCAACATAGCAGTCGGTGCACATGGCAGAGCATCACCTCAGGACCACCCTAATAGTACAATTTGTGTATTATGGATAGACTATGTATTTTGCATGCTATCTCATTACACTGAATGTCTAAATTTTAAGTGACAGACTTGTTATTAATCTCATAGGCTACACCTTATATTAAGGCTGAGGTTTCAAATTCTTAATTGATTTAAATTTATATCTTTATTTGCGAGTTTTGAATAAAAATTAACTGCATAGATGAGAGAGAAGATTTTTTTGGCATGCATTTTAATGACGAAAAATAGTGGTGACAAAGCACAAAATTTTTTGGTATTATTCCTAATTTCAAGTCAGAAAATAACTTATAATTAAATTTTCAGTGAAGTAAACTCAGGAGCTGAATTGTACAGGAAAAAGATTCAACAAATTAGGAAAAACTAATTTCAGATTCTAAGTCCAACATTTAACTTACTAAAAAATGTAATCTTTTTAAAATTCTACTGTATGTGTTAGTTATAGTTAAAAATCCTGCTCAATTTAAAAATATCTGAACTGAAAAGTTATATCATTGTAGCTTTCTTTGTTAATACTTTATATAGTCTTCTTTAATTGATATTCAGAGAAGATCTAGAGACAAATCTGAATTTCAGCCTTAAAATGTTACTAATTAACAGTATTAAGTTACTGTTTTAGATTTGTAAGCTAAGGGATTTTTACTTTTGTAACAGTGGAAGATCATATAAGGTATTTCTCCCGCCTTAGCAAGCCTTTGTGGTGTAGTGGTCTGCACACTCAGCGCATAATTGAGAGGTCCGCCATTCGATTCTTGGCAAAAGCTTTGTTAATTTTCACCTTTCCTGGTGAGAATGGTGTGTGGCGCCCGAACTAAAAGGGTGTTGGATAATGATTCTCCTCACCCAGGATTTGGCAACTGGTTCCCGTAAAAAAACCCAGTCACCTTTTAGAAGGGGGAGTATATAAGGTATTTCTCCCACCTTCTTAGCAAGCCTTCGTGGTGTAGTGGTCTGCATGCTCAGCGTGTAATTAAGAGGTCCGCAGTTCAATTCCCAGCAAAGGCTTTGTTAATTTTTCATCTTTCCTACTTCCAAAAAAGACCTAATGTTTCCACAATCATATGGAAAAATATAAAAAGGCTGTTCTCTTAAGGAGAGGGATTTCTCTCAGAAAAAATGGCCCATATCCATGTTACACACAAGGGAAAACATGTAACCAGTCCATTCACCTGGGTTTAAAACCAGATCGAATTAGCCATGTGCTAAACGTTGTAGAACATGCTGTGTGGCCCATATTTAATTAATGAAAAGTTTTAGCTCTCAGAGAGAGTGGGGGTCAGGAACAGGTGTGGCAAGAGATAATTAAACAAGCATAAATGTATTTATGTGAATATTTGTAAATACACTTTGATTCCTAAAGTATTAGATGAAAATTAACCGCTTAAAGCATTTGCTTGAATCTCACATGGGCGATCTTGTATTTTGCGTTATTTTATTTTTAATATCCGTCCGAGATCCATCTGTTTTAGTAAAAATAGGTAGGCTAGATTATAATTAAAAATATTTATCACAGATGACATCATTATGCAGCATTTTTCTTGTGTAAACCAGATGGTGCATTTTGATGATTAACTATAAGTTTATTAGGAATTCTTTGTAATAGAGGAATTGTTTGGTGGGGGGAAAAGGTAATATATCCATTTTTATTGTGTTAATTATCATAAAAGTAAATGTTAACCATAAATGAATTTTTACTAAGTAACATGTTTAGAAAAAGTTATCTGATAATGAGCGACTCTAGCGATTTTGAATATGTCAATTTATCAGTAAATTCTGGTGATGAAAATGAAGATCTTGAGTGGTGGAAGTGAGTCTAAAGACAACGATGATGAGATTTGGGCTGTAATAAGAAATTGGTATCAAATTAAATAGTACAAATTAAATAATGACTAGTACAAATAAAAAAATGACTTACACAATACCTATGTATTCATCTTCTGTCAAAGAACTTATCATTTTTTTAACAGTTTTTCTAGAAAAAACGTATGTTTAAGATTATAAAAATTAACTGCATAGATGAGAGAGAAGATTTTTTTTTGGCATGCATTTTAATGACGAAAATAGTGGTGACAAAGCACAAAATTTTTTGGTATTATTCCTAATTTCAAGTCAGAAATAACTTATAATTAAATTTTCAGTGAAGTAAACTCAGGAGCTGAATTGTACAGGAAAAAGATTCAACAAATTAGGAAAAACTAATTTCAGATTCTAAGTCCAACATTTAACTTACTAAAAAATGTAATCTTTTTAAAATTCTACTGTATGTGTTAGTTATAGTTAAAAATCCTGCTCAATTTAAAAATATCTGAACTGAAAAGTTATATCATTGTAGCTTTCTTTGTGTTAATGTGGTTAGTTTAAGGCCACAAGTGTGTTTATTTGAATTCAACATGGCATCGAGTTCCACCGATGGAATAGAGTGGTAAAGTCATTCTGAAGCAGTGTTCAGCAGCCACTAAGCTACTGATAGGGCTAATATTTTTACCAAATGTGCACCACCGTTGAAAAAGAACGCGAAAACCTTTGATGAAGGCATTTTATTTTATTTCTACTCAGTTTCAGAAATTAAAGATCAATTTGCTAAGTTTTCTCCCACTTAACTATTTTTCCTTTCTTTTTTAGAATTTGATTCATGTACGGGTACAGTATTAGCTCTACGTGTCCACAAACAATTCACTGATGTAGTAGAAAATGGCCAAGCATGTGCGGTGTTATTCTAGATCGTACATCATTCTATGCTGAAGCTGGTGGACAAATTTATGATGTTGGTTTTATGGTTAAAGAAGATGATGAGGTATGTATATAATTGTTTATTGGTTTAGCATTACATTGCTTCATTATTTACCTTTTTTTGCTTGTGTTTTTGCAAGTTTTGTTTTGTGATCCCAGATATAATTTTTTTAATTGCACGCAGTCTTTTATATGTTATCTAAAAAATTGGAACATTTTCTCACAGGTATTGTGTATCATCTTAAACTGGAGATATAAGTAGTGGAACATTAAATAAATTTTTTGCGTTCAAGTGAATTAATTGTTCACTTATTTTATTATTTTAGCATTGGTGAACAAAGCTTTACCTTAACTTCATGTAAAACTAGGTCTCATTAAATTGTTTAAATTAATTAATTAAATTAAGAGCAAAAGAAGACTTCTGTTACTTAAAAGAGAAATTTCGTGCTGCTTTTCTTCTAAGGTGGAAGTGGGAGCCTTATTGAACCTCAAATTAGACAATTTTTAAAACCTTCTAAGCCTTTAGTAGCTGAGTGCTTAAGACCACTGAATACTGGTAGTTTGACCTGGCTTGGATTCAAACCTTCGGGAATGGGCTGGCTGCATGGCTGGTTTTAGTGCATTTTTCCCATAAGAGCCAGTTTCCATCTGAAAGTCCTTCACAAAGACATTCCTCCTCTTAGGCAAATACCCTTATGGCTTTGCCATATTCAAATTAATTTAATCTAATCTTCTTAAATCTTCCAGGTAGTCTTAAATGTAACAAAAATAAATAAATAAAAAAGGTTCAAGTGTGTTTCAGAGGAAATTAATCCGAATGTTATGATCATTATCTAGAGTTATTGCTTTCATTATACAGAACTATGGTTTGCACTTCGCTCATTTAGATTCTCACTTGAAAATTTGGGATTGTTTTATATGAGCTTGAAAAAAGGTTCATCAAGGTGTTATCCATATGGGAAGAAGATGCGATGGAAAATGTAAACTATATATGATATTTAACTAGTGTTTGGATTTCTTATCAGAGGGACCAGAGATTGGTACTTAAGAGAGGGTAAAGAGTGCTTCTTTTTACAGTTTATGTAAAATGCAGATAGTTATGTTCAGTTGCACTCACATGTGCATGCAAGTGACCATATGCAAATATAATATGTTACAGTCAATCATGATTGATTGTTCAAACATTTGCTAATCAGTCAGTCTTTGAAGATGTCAGCATTCTAAAGGATTTTAGGAAGCTTATTTAAATGCACAGTTGTATGAAACATGCTACTTTAGATCATTGTAGACAACAAGAAACTCAGAGAACAAGCTCGAGAGAAACAAAGGCACTGCAATATACATCAACTTCTGAAAGTTAAGCATGCATTGCAAATTAACAATTTTTGAAAGGGTATTTGAATTTGAGTAACTTAAATTCATTGGATGTAAATATCATATGTTACAGCCAGTTGTGATTAACTATCCAAGCATTTGCCACATAGACAGTCTTTAAAGTTGCTAGCATTCTAAAGCATTTTAGGAAGCTCATTTAACTGCTGATATGTTTGTAACTTATGTGGGATAATTTTTTATGGTATTTGTGTTTCTGTGGCTGAAAGAAGACAAACATGTCGCACTTTTCTTTGGTGTTGTTCATTTGGTAAAGATAATATCGGCTAGTGCACCAAAAGTTTCACATGAAGGGACTTCATGCTCGAGTGCCAAATGTTTGTGTTCCACTAATTGATCAGTACAGAGGAGCAAGATTAAAGTACTTTCATCAACATCTCAGTTGTAGTCTCAGTTTGGCATAACATCCTGTTCACAAACCAGTCCAGATTTGCTATATAATAAGATGATCAGCATGTGAAATCTGAAGCGAATGAGGCACACGAAATCAAGCCCAGAATGTCATCGAACATCATGCCTTCAGAAATGGCAGCATCATGGTGTGGGCTGGAATTTCAATAAAAATTGCACATCTTTAAAGAAGGTTCTGTCATGGCTGTGTTATATTGGGTTGAAGTCCTGCACTCACATGTGCATCCCATTGTGAGATTTTACACTACAGCAGTTGGTTCTGATTTTATCTGTATGGATGTTAATGCTGTCCTCATCAAGCCAACATTCTTAACAAGTATTTGGAGAGTAAGGACATTTCAAGTATGAAGCTGCTGCCGTATTTCCTTGACCTTTGAAAGTCTTTGTAATGCCCTCTGCTTCTGTTTGTTAAGCTATCAGGACTTGTATGTCTTTTGATTTGTTTTGGGAATGTTGCGTGTCCTGAATAGAAACAGGGAGCTTAATTAAGCTATGTTCAAATATGTGTGGAATGAACAACACCAGCAGGAAGTGTTGGCTTTACCCTTTAATTCTCTATAAGATTACAGGTGCTCCCGCACTTCGGGGATACAGAGACCAACCACTTGTGGTCTGTATGTAAAAATATAAAACTACTAACTAAAATTTTAAATAAGAGCTAACTTTGAATTAGTTTACAAATGCCTAACACTAAGACTGGCCTTTTAAATCATTAGGTAAGTAGTACGCAAACTGCCGAAACTACAATACGTTTTAAAATATCAAGAGGGCTAAACCTCTGGCCTTAAAGGCAGGCAGCAGCTGATTGAAAACTCGTGCGGAATACAATGGCAAGACAGCTCACTTTCTCTCTCTCTCTAACTCTTGGCAAAAAGCCACAATTTAAATACTTGTGCGTTAGCAAGTACAATTTGCATAAACAAGTTATCACATTTAATTCTGGCCGGAAGTGGAAAATAAGAAGTGATAGTAAAGTTTTTAAATAAAATAAATGTTAGTAAAACTTTAGATCCTTACAAACCTCCTCCAGACAGTCTCAGATAGTTAGAAAATGTCCTAATGAAGGAATGGCCATTGCTAACATATGCGATGGTTGAACACCTCATTGAAAGCATAGTGAATTGTTAAGTTTGTGTGAAGCTTCAGGATGTTCACAAACCTTATTAACTTAAGTGTTGTTTGTTTGTTCTTAGCTTTAAATATCAATTTGTTAATAATCCTAATATGGCATCATCATATATTTTATGAAAAAAAATTTTTTTTAAATTTTATTTATTTATTTTTTTTTAAATCTTTTTCAATAATGTTTGTTTTTTTCTTTCATGCATTGCATGTTTAAGTTTTGGCAGTCAGTGTGCAAGAAAGTAGAAACAAAGCTGGATGATTTATTTCATATAAAGCTTAAGAATACTGTTATGAAGAATCCAGATATATCAGCCTTCATCAGTGAGAACCAGAACCGTGATGTTCAGATGAAGAGAAACTTTGTAGTTAGCATAAAGAGATGTTTCTCTTTATACAAAGATTCTTTGATGGACAGATAGTAAAAAAGTTTCTTCAGAATATTGAAAGATGAAATGAAGAAAGTTGTGAGAGGAATAAGATAATATTGACAAGTCCTTCAACATGCTAGGATAGCTGAGTGGGTGGACAACATGCTAGGATACTTGGGATTGTAAGCTGCATTAAAATATCTTTGGTTAGATACCAATTCTCTATCAAGCATGTGAAGAGAAGTATGTCCATTTCTTTCTCCCCTACCTTCATGTTTGCCCTGTCCTAATTGTTGCTGGGAATATTTTGTTTTTAAGCCTTTTAACTTATAGGTTTTTCTAATTGAGCCTTTTGTATACATTTGTTGTGGTACAAACTTCCAGTAGTAGCTGCGTAGTAGTCAAGTTGTAATGCACTGTTATGCATGGAAATCAGTCTTAAGAATTAAACAGAATTTTTTTTAAAACCTTTGTTCTGTTTTCTTACAAGCAGCTGTAAAATTTGTGAATTGACTTGAATAAGACTGAATTGCAAAAGCTTATTCAGAAACATACTTTATGCAAAATATCTGCCAAGCCTTTGGATGATTGGATAATGATAATTAGGTTTTGCCTTTTGCTCATTTTGTGAAAGATAAAATTGAACTAATTAGTTATTTCATAAAATGTTTTTAGTTTTATGTATTCAAAGATAATTTCAGGAATTAGTGTAATATTTACTAATATTTTTAACGTAAAAAGCATTGTTGGATAATCATTTAAGATACCTAAGTAGTGGTGATTTGACAGTGTTAACTTTTAATTGTGCTTACTATTTTAGTTTATATCTATTTACTGACCATTGTGTTTTCATTTCTGTAGGATACTGAATTTGCAGTAAAAGAAGTTCATCTTCAAGGAGGCTATGTCATTCACATTGGTACTCTTTGTGGTGCACTGAAAGTTGGTGACAAAATGAAGTTATTGATTGATGAGGTATTTTTATAAGATTCTGTGATTTTAAAATTGTATAGTGGATATATGTATTAAAATCAATTTTTGTGATACTTTTTTTGCACTTAATTTAACTTTCTAAAATTATTTTATTTCTGTGTTAGGAAAGGAGAAAGTTGGTGATGAATAATCATACTGGGACTCATATTCTAAATTTTGCTTTAAGAAAAGCGCTTAAAACAGAATGTGATCAGAAAGGTTCACTGGTTGCTCCTGACAAACTGAGGTTTGACTTTACCAACAAGGTATTAATAAAACACTTAAACCTTGTTACTTATTTTTCTTTGAAAATTGTAAATGAGTGTGATTGAGTGCCTGGTGTTCATTATAGACAATTTATATATTTACCTTGAATTAAATATAGTATTGAAAGTTACTATTTTGTGTCAGATGAAATAGAATTAAATTAAGAAAAATTAATTCTTTGTTTAGTCTTCTATTCATAGCAATTTTACAGAATTAAAACACTATTAAACACAGGCCAAACGTTTTGTCATTTTAATAGTTTTTGATTCCACATTATATTAAGATTCTCGTGTATCAAACTATATTCTTCTTTATTTTAAATTTATTAATACTGATAGTAATTATAATATTTTTCAGGATAGCTGAAAGCCCTGTGCTTATTTTTTAATTTTATATGTTTTGAAAGAACTGGAAGGTCATCTAAATTTTTTGAAAATGTGTTTGGTCTTTAAATATATGTCAAATATAATGAACAGATTTTGCTTTTAAAGTGGTAGATGCAGCTAGCTTGTTTTATTATATTATATTGTATATTTTTATGTTCATTATTATTTATATTTTTATAGGGAGCAATGTCTGTAAGTCAAGTAAAAGAGGCTGAATTAGTTGCAAATGAAGTTATTAGTAAAAAAAAAAACGAAGAAGTGCATGCTAAAGATGCTCCTTTACCATATGCCAAAGCTATTCATGGTCTTAGGGCTGTATTTGGAGAGGTGAGCCTTTTTGTATGGAGTAGAATCAAAGCTAAATTAACCTTCTCATTTCTTGCATAGAGAAAATAAAAGTCTCCTCTGAGCCAACCTTGGAGTGTTAAATGTTGTGTTCTCAAGCATTTTACGCTGCTAAGCATGGCATGTGAAATTTATAAAAATCTGTTTTTTATCAAAAAATTTAGATAAAGACATGTGCTGTCTAATTTTTTTATATATGAAAAGATAATCATGACTAATAATATGAAGTATTCTTAATAATAACTGTACATATCTAATAAAATTATTTATATACATTAATGAAATAGAAGACTTTTAAGTGATTAATCTATCTGATTGTAACGTAAGTTTTCTGCCAAAAAATACATTCTTAATAAAGTTAGAAAAAAGAATACATAAAAGCAGTGCCTTTAATACAGGTAATCAATCACTACTCAAATCTATGATTTTCTGCCAACGTTTCAGTAGTTTTTCAAACCCTTAAGCCCAGAAACTTGGTGGCCGCAAGTCCAAAAATAGGTCAACCTCATTTTGGCCGTCCTATGCAAAATGGATGATAGCACCAGTAAGATGTAGCTACAGATGTGAAAAAAGTAAAAGTCTGAAGGAGTGATGTCAGGCTATATGTAGGTTGTGGCAAAAGATCCCATTCGAGTTCGTACAGAATCAAGCTTTTGCACCGGAAGTCAGTTTGGTGTTTTGCTTAATAGCAAAGTCAACACAGACTAGCATCTCACTGTACACCTTACTGTTGAGAGTTTTACCTTTTTCCAGATACTCTTTGTGGATAATACCACGGCAATCCCACTAGATACAAAACATAATCTTTTTGTTGGTCAAATTGTGCTTTGTGACATTGCTGACCAACCCGCTTTTCAGTCTATGTTGTTGAAATCAATCCACTTTTCATCACAAGTTATGATCCGGTACAGAATTTTGCCCTTGTATTGATATTCGTGCAGATTAGTGGAGGCCCGAGCACGTCTGTCCTTATCTGCTTGAGTCAGCTCATGCAGCACCCAGCGATTGAACTTGTATATCAAGTTTATGTGATGCATAGCATGGGTAATGAACATAGCACTATCTTGTAACTCCTCAATAAGCTCTCGAGTGGTTGCATACTGATAGTCTTCCATAAGTTCTCGTAGGTGGGCCTCATCAACATCAAATAGGCCAGACCAGAGCGCTCTGCTTCTTGAAAGTCTTGTTTGAACTTTTGGTACCAAACCTTCACAGTGTCATATGATACAACATTAGTACCTAAAGCTGTACGAATGATTTGGTAATATTCTGTAGCTGACGTTTTGCAACAAAAGTGAAAATAAATGATGGTTCTAACTGGTAGCACGATAGTTCCATTTCAGACATCTTGAACTTAATGATAACGATATTTTTTTATAAACTTCACGCTATTCTAAAGCAAGTCTCTTTCTTTCAGATTGCAAAAATCAGTTTGACAAAATATGATTAAATATGCCAACATGAACTGTTTTTACCGACGATATTTGTAGTGGCGGAAAACTTTCTTAAAATCTGATACATTATATACTGTTAAAATGTTTATAACAAAAGTGAAAGCTTTTTAACTGGGTGGTGCAATTCAAAATGCTGCTGAATATATTTATCAGTATCACACATTTTCATTAATAAATTACAATTTAAAATGCTGTTATTCAATAAAATATCGTTTGTGATTGCTTTTGTCCTAAAAGACATTTTTCCATCCCATTTAAATCAGCTGTCTTAGCCACTGAAGTTGAGTGTTATACATATTGAATTTTAGTTTATACTTCGTGTGCATAGCATTAGTCATATCTGTTGACTGTGAATTAGAAAAGGAAAAATAGTTTTATAAAAATGTAAAAAAGTATTATATAATTGAAATATCAAAGCAAATTATGTACTTAAAGATCACTTAATTTATATATTTTATTCTTTTAATTTTAGGAACTTTTTTAATCTGTTTAGTTTCATGTCCAAATTTACTGACATAAGTTACTTCAAATAAAAAATAAATAATAATAATAATAATAAATTATTATAAATAAATATAGCTATGTGTTTTCAACATGACTGGAAGTCGGAAAATCTTCGTATTATTTCTGCTGTTCAGAATACTTCTTTGAGTGCATAATCCTTCTGCAATATTTACATGTTCTTTTAGTTGAAATAAACAGAAATGTAAAAACTGTGTCTATGGGGGGGGGAAGTTCTCCCATGCTTAACCATTTTGTTGTTTAAGGGTCATATACGATACAAAACCATGATTATTTGTGTACTTAAATATCAGTTAAATACTAAAGTAACTAAATTTTTCATTTTTATGAATATTGTAGTTGACCAACATTTTTTCATTCAGCTGATAATAAATACAAGACACTATTTTGTTGCAAGCACATAAAACTAACTTTAGATATTGAAACTGAGGATGTGTTACTGTTACAACTAGTGGTAGATACTTTGAAAGATATTGTGATAAAATACTTAGTCATATTTCTTCATTTTTATTCGGTGATAATGAAAGTGAGTTCATTTAACTTTCTATTATTATTATTTTTGAGAATTATATAAAATCCAATAATACATTGCTTAATATTATTTTCATTTATGAAGCAGCAGGGTATCATTTTGAGAGTGGGCAAAATGGATCATGAAAAATAAATGAAGTCGTTTTACATTAGACTGAATATGTAATATTTCTTGGAAGACACTGTAAAAAGTTCTCCACTTATGACTGTACAAGATTTTTCTTTTGTATCATACTTTATATGGAAACTTTGCTTCTAAGAATTCAAACTAAGAAATATATACCATAAATGATACATCCGAATGACATATGTTACCTTTTTTTTAGCTGGTAATCAAAACAGTATATCCATTGATGAAGAAAAATGTTACACAAATTCAGATATGCTCTTGAATGTACTAACATACATGGTGAAAGGATTCAAATAATTTTCAGCTTCCAAAATCCATGTATAAAAGTTATAATCATAATTTATATTTTGCAGTAAATATATGATAATCAAAGAATATTTTTCTGCAGAGTAATATCAGTTAACCTCCCTCCTAACTGATTTTTCTGACATATCTATGTGAATTTTAAAAGCTTTATGACAAGTTCCTATGTTACTTGATGGTGGTAAAAAATAGCCTATGCAATACAGTGCTTTCTAAAACCAAATGATTTTTTGCCTTACCTTTCCTGAAAAGAATGTGTAATAAAGCTTAGCTCACTTGTATTAAATTCATCTCAGTGTGGTTTTCCTGAATTGTAATGTCAATTTAATAAATGTTTATCAATTTTGTAAGCCAAAATGGGATTTCGTTTTCCTATGAGTAGTCTAGTTAATGCCCTTCCACCTTCTCCCCAAACACACCATCTGTTATGAAACCTGGTTCAGAAAAACTAATATAGATTATTAATTGCAATTTTTCTGTTTATTCTATTGACAATTCCTTGACATTTTAAATTCAATGATTTCATTTGTTTTCTTAGGTGTATCCTGACCCTGTGCGTGTTGTTTCTATTGGCATTCCTGTTGATGAACTTTTATCTGATCCATCAGGACCTGGAGGCACTGCTACATCTGTGGAATTTTGTGGTGGGACGTAAGTTTCTAAATCTGTTCTTACTTAATTACTTCCTTCTAAAATGAATTGAAATTTAAATATTACTCGACAATTTTAGTTACATTTCAGATAACTAATGTTTATTAAACTCTTTTTACCGTGTGTCATTTCATTTCTTATTAATAAATAGAAGTAAAGTTTTACAATTACCTGTGGATAAATAAGAAGAAAAATTAGTGTAATTTCTGGTTTTTACATGTTTGTTTTGTTACTTAGATATCATTTACAAAAAAACTTCTGTTATTGTCCTATATACTTTATATTTGAAGTTTTACTATATTTTGCAGAGTACATCAGGCAGACACATCAGATTCTTTAAAAATCCTTAACTTTGATATTGGAAACAGTATACGAATTCTTTTACAGAACCCTGTCAAAAAATTAAATTATTGTATTTGCTAATATCAATAAAATTTGATAGTTTATAAATTATTTTTCATTTTTATACTTCAAACTTGGAGGTTTTTAAATTAGGCATGAAAATTTTATGTGAAAATTTGAATTTTCATTCTCCTTACTTTCCAGCATATGTGAAGGTAGATTATTTAATTTCTTTGTAGAGATAAGAAAAATACATAGTGGCTAAATTTTGAAGGTGTCAAAGACTGAATAAGCGAATCATATACAGTCAAACGTCTTCAATCTGGACGTCCTTAATCGAGAATGATCTATAATCCGGACCTCAAAGCTACAAACTTTCTGTGCTTGCGTGGCATTATGCATTTACGCATGCGCGTTTAATATATAAACGGACGGTATAAGCTAAGCTAAAATTATCTAATTTCAGTTAATGTTGCAGATTGCATTGTTCCTTAATCTTCTAATTGGATCCGGCTTATTATTTTTTTGCAGACTGTTAGAGCAATTTTATAAAAGTAAGCTTGAACTTTCGATTATGTCAAAAAGAATTTCCGATTCTAGAGCTACCAAGGATTTACAAAGCTAAAGCATGTTTCGATGTCCATCAACAAAAAGTGGAATTGCTGCAAAAAATGGATAAAGGCTATCCTTTGATTCTCTAATCATTCCGAAATATTTTTTATCAATTTCACGCTGCTCTGCGGGAGGGGGAAACGACATGGCGCGCAATCAACTGGAAGTTGATCTGTCAGCATTATCCTTATCTTCATGGCAGATGTTTTATTTTATTCGGCTTATAATTCCTTACTAAATGTAATATTTCATCTCGATGTACTCTGTCTTTGATATGATTTAAATCAAATTCCTCGTCGTTATAAATATCACGAATACACATCAAATAGTTTTCTGGTTGCAATTTTCTAATTTCAACTATGAGTAACGTATGCTTTACGCTTGCACGCGTTGAAAGAAATGTTTTAATAAAGTAAACAAATAAATATAAAGCTTTTTTGTGTGTGTGTAAATTTTGATACCCTTTAGATCAAAATTGCTCTTTACTTCATAAATTACGGTTTTCGTATTTTTAATTTTATAATTACTGCATGCCATCTTACGAGGTTTAAACTGATGATTATAATCCGGAGAAACCAATAATCCAGAATCGCCGAAGTCCCGACGAGTCCAGATTAAAGACTTTTGACTGTAGTATAAAAAAGTTATGCATTGATGAGCCAAAACATAATGAACATCCCCACATTTTTCAATGAATTCATCTGGATGATGTGGAGGGCACATAATTAAGTAGGAATGGAATTTAACTGCTGCTGGAGAAGATAAGGAATCATTCTTGCACTTACTTATGTGAGTGATGGGAAAGTCTGCTGATCTATGCAAATTTGCTATAGGGCAAATTGTAATGGCTTGAAGACTCTATCTCTGAAACTTTACAACTGATAAGTTGTTCATAATCTCCTGTTGTTATTATTTATGTTAAGTGGATAAATGATGGTGAAATCAGCTGTCATCACCAAGGTTTTAGTACATCATCAAAAAATAAGGATGTCGGAGATAGTCCTGCATGGTACAGCAAAATCAGTGGCTCAGCTGACAGTCCAATACATTGCAGATTGAAGTGCAAGTGTTTTGAAACACACAGTTCAGCAGACTCTATTGGATATGGGACGGGGCAACAGGCGTCCCACTCGTGTGCCCTGTTGACCAACCATCATTTAGGCCCGGGAACATCGACAGTGAACCATGGATAAGTGGAAGACAGTTTCCTGGTCAGATGAATCATGTTGATCGTCATGTCAGGGTACACCATTTTCCAAGAGAACAGTTGCTCCTTCCCTGTACAACAGGTCATGCACAGGCTACAGATGGGAGTGTAATGGTTTGCTCTAATGGGTGGCTCTGGAGTACTTAGTTGTGGTAGAGACAACGAAAGCTGCAGGCTATCTGAACATTACTGCAGATCAGTTGCACCCTTACATAGCATCTGTCTTCCCAACTGGTGGACAATGTCACAAGGCTGGAATTATGTTGGAGTAGTTCAAGGAGCATAAGGATGAATTCCAGTTAATGTCCTGGACGCCTAACTTGCCAGATCTTAACCCGATAGAGCACATTTTTTATGCTATGGAGTGGCAGCTCAGAGCTGAGACACCACTAGGTTCGAATATCTTGTTTGCATGATTGCTGCTTAGACATTTGGTACAACCTGTCTGCAGTCACTACCATCCATGCCAAGACGAGTTGCAGCTGTTTTGCCAGCCAGAGGTTGTGCAGTGCATTATTGAGTTAATGGTCATAATGTTTTTGCTCTTTAGTGTAAGTAAACAAGTTTCTGAACCTTTGTTTTGTACTTAGAAATACATTATCAGTTTGCAAACTGATAATGTTGGGATGGAAGAGGACATAAAAGAATTATCTCCAGAAGGTGGAAAAGCAATTTTTTTTAATATACTGAAAATATTTGATAGATAAATATTACCAGTTTTGTGAAATTTTTACTTGATATAGTCAAATAAGTTTCCTAGAATGTAATAACCGTTAAATTTCCTCATTAGAATTTTATGCTGTATTCATAATGCTCCAAATAAAATCAAAAATCACTTTTGTGTAAATTTGCTTTCATAATTAAGATAAAAATTAGGTTTAGAAAGGATTTTTTTTATTATATATATAATATTTGAAAAAAATTATTGTCCGATTAATACCATAAACTGTGTTTCCTAATATAATATTACATTGCATAATTAACTGAAAATTAATTCTATTTAAACAGTTCTTAAAATAATATGGTGTCTTTCTACTTGTTGAAACCTAATTTTGTAAAAACAATTTACGGGAGGATTGAGAACTGTAATAATTGTTATCAAAGATAAAAAGGGGGGGAAATTTTTTAAGTGTATACTCCAACACTGATAATTTTTGTTCTAGTTATGATAAAATGTCTATTTGTGGGAATGATTGTTCACTCCTAGAAGGTCCTTCATGACAACAAACCCTTCCCAAGCAAATAGCGCTGATATTCTCTTTTTTTTTTTTTTTTTTTTTTTTTTTTTTTTTCATTGCATTACTTATTCACTGATGTATATTGAGAATATCTTTATGAAATTGTCTTTCATCAATTGCTTCTTAATTTTAAAAAAGAAGAAAAAAATTTGTTTGATGAACATCGAAAGATGTATAAATCTATCAAATTTGTCGTTCACATCCCTAAAGATTTTGAGGTGAACATATTTGTGTGAGACTTTTGCTAGTAACTTTTTTCTCCTCTTCTTCCAGTTTTAGTAAATTTATTTATAAATCTTAGGTTTTTGAATCCAGACTCTCTTATTTTGTCAATAAAATTTTTTAAATACTAATGGGTTTCTTTTAGCCATTTGAAAAGATCAGGGCATGTAGGAGATTTTGTTATATCTTCAGAAGAAGCTATTGCGAAAGGTATCCGTCGTATTGTTGCTCTTACTGGACCTGAAGCTTCCAAAGTAAATTTTTGCTTGTACTTCTCATGATATTTAATTTTTTTTAAACTTTTTACTATAAACTTTCATTTATTTATATACCACTTTTATTTTATTTATTTAAATTCTTCTGAATGTATTTCCATTTCTTAGGCAATTAAAAGATCTGAATTACTTCAAAATGAAGTTGAAAATATAAAAAATCTAATTAATGATAAAAATCGAAAAATCAGTGAAAAGGAAATTGTGAAAAAAGTAGTGGAATTAACAGAGGTATGATCTAATTTATTCTTTCATTCAGCACTATATATTTTCTTAATGAAAATTATCATTCAAAGGTTACATATATATAGAATTGTTGATTTGGTTGTATGTTATAGGAAATTTCTCAGTCAAGTATATCCTATTGGAAAAAAGATGAAATGCGAACGAATTTAAAGAATCTCAAAAAGCAGTTAGATGATTTAGATCGTGCAAATAAGGCTGCTATTGTCCATACTGTAAGCACAAATGCAACATTATGTGTTAATTATGTTTCATTTTTATTAAATATAAAGTAATAAAAACTTATTGAGTTATATATCTAGATCACAGAAGAAGCAAAACAAATGTTCCAAGGTGATGCCAAAGATGTGCCATTCATTGTTCATGAATTTAAAGCTGGCTCTAATGCCAAGGTAAATTTTTGTTTCAATTTTAAATGTTTATTAAATTTTATGTGTATATAAAAGCAAAAAAGATAAGTGTATCAATCTTTCATAGTATAACAGCTGCTGTATAATATAGCATTTCTCAATGTGATCCAGGAACTGTAAAAAATTCTATTATTCTATTCTGTTGTGTGACTTATCTCACTTGTTTGAAGAAGCCCACGAAATCATCACGGCAAACCCTTGATCACCATACAGGTGACATTAAGATTTTGCTCATTTCCACACTCAATTTTAAAGGAGAGCACCCTGGGGGGATGAGTCTGAGGGCTCCCCACCACTCTTCCCCTACCACCAATTTCTTAAGAGGACTTCTGGCTCGCCGCATATTATGCCTGCGTGCCATACAGACATTATACATTTACAAACATCCATGACATTTCCAGGATTCGAACCCGCGCCCTTCGGTATCGCAGTAGGAGTGATATTATACTGCACGAAAACTGTTTAGTTCAGCCAAGAACCAAGGATATTGCCTGTATTAAGTACATGTGACAGAACTGCTGATACCTCATTGTCATAGCGTATTAAAATAAAACATAGTCAAGAAAATTTTTATCATGTCAAACAAAAAGTAAACCATAAAAATCAAAACTCTGCTAAAGAAAGCTCAGAAAATGAGAATATTTTACCTCCCCCATGGAAAAAACAAATCTAATCTTCTATCTAATACTTTTGATAAATTATTTTAGTAAACATATTTCTCTTTTTTACAATTTTAACCTAACTCTGACTTTTTTTAATACCTTGACATTTTGGAACCTGAACTTGACTTTTGTACTTGTTCTAAGCACATAAAATGCATAAATGGGAAAATAGATGTTTTAAAAATTATTTTAAAGAATGAATTTATATTAATTACCAAAAATGTTTTATAGTTTTAAATTAGTAATTTTATAAGGTTACTAAGACGTGAAGACTATTATTAGTTCATAAAACATTTTGCTTCTAAGATGTAGCATGTTCTTTATAGTGTTTATATGATAGAAAAGGTGTATTCTAGACCAAGGCTTCTCAAACCTTTCCACTAAGTGATCCTGTTTATCCTAGAAAATATGTTCACGAAATAAAAGTACAAATTTAAAAAAAAAATTCTTTTAATCCTCAAATACAGTTCTTTGATATACATATATAGTATAATGTAATTTTAACATGTATTAAAGACAAAGACAATTATTCATATTAATTAGCTTAGTGTACTTATTAACTTTTACATAAATATTTAAATCTTGGATGAATATTTGATATTACAATACATAGAGCTTCTTCAGTGTTTTTGGCTTAATCATGTAAAATTCCATTTTCATTTTGTATTTTGAATGTTAATATTGAAAATTCTGGTTTACATAAATATGTAATACAAAATGTTAGAGGTATGTTAGTGGCCATTTTAAAAAGTGTTTTATCCTAATCTCCAGCTAAAATTCATTTAAAAAAATTTTTGAAAAACTATACACTTGAAATTGGGAAATTCTTTGAGGAGGTACTTATTAGTAAGTGACTGACATAAATTGTGTCTCCAGACACTTCAAATGCTCAATTATAACTTTAAGAATTAAATTTTTGGAAAAAGTTATTTTCAATTATAAAAATATCTATTTCTGTAAACATTCCAAAACTCTCACTCTTTTTTTTTTTCCCTTTATGAAATTTAGAGATCTCACCTCAGCCTCCCAAAGACCACCAAAATGGAGAGCTGAAGTTGGGTTGAAAAACCATTTTATGTTTTCATAAGCTAGAAAATTGAAGATTGTTTTATTTTTCTGTAGCATGGCAGAGCAAGTACAGGCTTCGTACTTGCTGTGTTGTAGATTTCTCCTCAATGGGAAATAAAAAATGTCAGAATTAAAAAAATTCCTTAAATGGAGCAGACTCGACAATTGGAAACTTTGAACTCCCACTAGCATCTCTACTTATACATTATACAAAGCACAGTATCCAACAGAAGACAATTATTCACCTTGTCATTATATCACTGAATCTGTGGTCGATGGACCATAATATGATAGCAAAAAATGGCATAACACAAGGTATCCATAGGTCGCTGGTAATTTAGCATTCTAAATTAAATATTGTTACAATAATTTTTGGCCACTGGACCAACAAGCAATGGGCATGCTGTCCATCTACATTCTATGGTTAAGGACAATCAGAGTGTCTTAAATAATGTTTAGTCCTTGGGTGTAAGGGCACAGACTCTGATTCAGTAACAAATAACTAAAGAAAAACTAAGTTGCCTCTTAAGAAAACAGAAAAACTTTGGAGGAGGTACCTTTCATCTGTAACAGCTTATGGGCTAAAAATTGATCTGAAATAATTTTTTTAGTCCAAAGGGGCTTTGTCCCTGAGGGACTGTTGTATTCGTTTCGCGTCAAAACACTATAAATGGCTGTATCATTTTTAAAACTGTTGCCACCAAATATTATCGCTCTGCATTGTATTTAAGGAAATTAAATTATGAAGCATCTGCATAAATGTATGTATGTTTCTCGTATTGTGATAAAAACAACGGTACCTAGAGCCATTAAATTTTGAATGACGTAATCCTACTGCGAATATGGGCATCTGAAAGCCTAAATTTGGAATTTGTTTTATTATCAATTCATAATTTGTAAAACTTAATGAATTTTTACTTCCTTGTACGAAAAGTAAAAGGAAGTATTGTAATCGTGAAAAGTTTCAGGCAGCATATTTCAACGAAAATATCCATTTTGACCGCTATCGAATGCAATTTAACGATGTTTTTGCATGATATCTGTACGTTAAGGAAGGACAGAATAAAATACTCTTTTCCTTCAAAAAAATTATAAAACTGCTTTAAAATAAATTCTGAAGAGAATTTTTCCGTGGCGTCTGTACGAACGTATGTACGTACGTATCTCGCATAACTCAAAAAACGAGTAGCCTCAGAACGTTGAAATTTTGTATATAGGACTGCTATAACATGTAGATGTGCACCTCGTATTTTGGTTGCAATCGGCCGCACCAAACGTATATAAATATATTTATATATATATCCACTCTGTTACCCGGCTCAGTGATCTCAGTTTCTTTACTCTTATATGTTTGTAAATTGTACATTTTTTGCTTTAAAAATGATTGAATTATGTTGTTTTTATCTTCGGGTTAAAGATTTTATGCCTTTAGTAAATCTGTGTGCAATATTTTTAGAATTATCAGCAATTTTAAAGTTGTTTAATTGCCGCTAAGCCTTTTTTTAATGGCGGCCATTGATGTTTACATTTGAAACAGGAGACTAGTGGATTTGCTGCCAATCTAGAGAAACTTAGCTTCGCAACAACAAAGATAACGCCATTCATTTATTATTGCAATTAAATCATGCTTAATCCTTTCTGGAAATTTTTTCGAGGAAATAAGTGTTTAAGATTTACTTCGTAATTTTTAATGTAGATATTTTGAGTTTTTATGTATTTTTGCCTTCTCGCGAAGTGAGAACTGAATTAATTAAATGAGAAATACTTAATCATCTGTGAAAAAACTGTTTTCTTCTTTTTTTTTTTTTTTTTTTTTTTTTTTTTTTTTTTTTGCTTAATTTCTTTTATACATCATTCTAGCTTTACTAGCTTTATTATAGTATTTGAATAGAACATGTGGCAACGATTAGATAATTCTATTCTTTAAATGATATAAATTTTGTGCATTATGAGTTATAATGTGAATGAAATATAATACTGAAGGGGAGTCATCAGTTTTGCGCAACACAAAAAGTGAGAATTTAGCTGATTTTCGAGTTTTAATAAGTCAAATTGTTTTTGTCATACATATATGAAATATTCAGTGTGTCATCTGTATACATAGATGATTATCTTTCTTGATTTATTTACTTAATAATGTATAAGAATTTGTTTTATAAAGAAAAAACCTAACTGTATTTTCCGAAAATTTAAAATTTGTACTGGAGCACTGCGCGCAAACTAACAGTAATACAAATTTAGCTACAGTAATAATTTTTAAGTGAATCTAGCGCTAGAGCGTCGCTATGGTAAACAAATACTAGAGTGAATTTTAAAGAATGCATTTATTCTATTGTGGTTTTTGCACTGTCGACGAAGTAGACTTAATTCAATCCAATAAGTTTAAATGAAATGCAAGAAAAATGCGTATAATTTAATATTCCGTACAAGGAAGTCATGTGGTGTACACATCAGATTTTTTATTAACAAATTCAAGGATATCAAAGTGAGAAATGGCAACATTGTACAGAAAAAACATTTTTATCTCCAGCGCATGAGACTGCATAGTAGAAATTCTAAACATATGTTCAATTTAAAGTTATTTTACATTACTGCTCTTGAACGGAATTTTATGGTTTAAGTGCGAATAACATGATATTTAATAAATAAAGGTAACACACAAAATGTATAAAAAAGTCCCTTTGGACGTAATTTAAAATCTGAAACCTTTCAGATTTTTTTTTTACTATATTCTTTAGTCATAGTTATATTTTAAATTATTTTTACTTATAATGAACTAGTTCAGATGACTTGTTTAATCCATGCTTCATAAAAGCTGGAAAGCAATGTATTATAGATAGATGCATTACCACTGAATTAACTCTTTTAATAATCAAGGAAGTATTTTAATTGCAGACAAATTATGTTGATGTCTAGAATAAAGGATAGCAAATTTTAGTGCATAATTTCCTCTTCTTCAAAACTGAATGTAGTAAAAGGAATTTCTGTAAAAGTGCTATTTTTAACTGTGTATGAATATGATTTTTTAATTTAATTTTATCAGTCTTTTCGCATTTAAATTTCATATACTAAGTATTGTTATATAAATATTCATAATTATTCCTGTGTATTAATGAAAATTCTTATAAGTATTAAAATTCCTGTTTTTATGTTTATTAAACATAATATTCTAAATTGTATTTATAGGCTTTGGATGCTGCTTTGAAGCAAATAAAGCAGTTTTCTCCCAGCACAGCAGCTATGTTTTTTACCAGAGATGATGAAAAAGTACTATGTATGAGCTCCGTGCCAGCGGTAAATTTTTTTTTTTTTTTTTTTTAATTCTTACTTTTTGGAGAAGGTCTGGAAGAACAATGAAAACTTAAGAAAACATAATACTATAATGTTTTACTTCGGATACTAGAATCTTTTTCTTAACACGTTTATCTTACCTGTATTTTCTCTACTTTTTACTAGACATAGGCATGAAAAATATCAAAAATGCTTCTAATCTTATCGCAAGGACAGGCATAGAGAGAAATATTTTTATTAGTAAAGAAATTGGAAACTGACAATGTAAATGATTCATCTAATATGTCTGAATGCTTCATACACAGAGCTGGCGCTGGGTATTTTCCCACCTGATGCAGTCTCTGTGGATCCTAAATTCTGCTGTTTAATGCCTTTCTAAATTTTGTTTCCTGTGCCTGCCCAAAATTCTAAAAGTTTTGCCATTTCTAGATTTTGTTGCTTGGTGTGTCACTAAATTCTAAAAATTCTCTGTACTGGCTCTGTAACTAGCCCTTACCATATATATTTCATATTTCTTCTGAATGTTCATATTACTAAAGAAATAAAATTAGTGGCTTTTTCTATACTTCTAAATGCATTTAGTGTTTTAAAATAACAGAAATTTAAATGAATCCAAAAATTCTAAAATGAAAAGGAAACTTGCTTAACCCTGAGCGTTATGACCGGGTTTAGGCGGTCACTGGAAAGTGTTCAAAAGCATTACTGACGGTTCTAGGTGGTCAATGGTGAAGACCTCGAAAGCATTATGACCGCCTTAAAGCGGACTGTGCAGATTTCTCCCGCCCCCCCCCCCATATTTCTGGAACCCTAGATATCTCTAAATGACAACTCTCAGTAGAGTTTAAGAGGGTTGCACTTCTTCGTTTTAGATCTCTACGTTTTATCGCCAAGAAGCGTTTAGACATACGACAAACTGACGCGAACATTCTTCATGAAAAATAAGCAGTGTGTAAAAATTTCCCAATACTACGTTTAAACAGATAACATTTTCATTAACTATCCTTTAGATTTCAAACTAAATGCTCAGAAATATGTAAAATGCTTGTGAATTCAATTAAAAAATAGCATTTCAAAATATTTGTATTATTTAAATAAATTTACTTATGATTATGTAGATGCATAAAACCGGCAAGTTAAAAACTTTCAATTAATTCGCGCAAACCGAATAGTACTGCATTCAGTTAACCTGAATTACATGCAATTGCATATAAAGAATAACATTACTTAGCAATAAGTCAGATAAAAATTAGAAAATCAATAGTCTATTTTAATAAGTTATAATAAGCGTATTCTTGATAGGGGTTTATAAAACGGAAACTAATTTAATAGTAAATATAATAATAGCGACTTAATTATTCTTTTTGGAACAATACTCGTTGCTTATACTGGTTTGCTGAAGTTTTGTTCTAATGCATTTTAAATTGTCCAATGTACATTGATATGAATGTGATTTTTATTAGAAAAAAATTTTAATAAGTTTGATTTTCTTGTGTGCTCATGCTTTACGTAATATATATTACTTTGTTCAACGCAATGAAACTTCAAGCAGCAACGAAGAGTTGAGTTAAAATTTCCATATTTTGTTACATAAATTATTAAAATACTATACAGCGTAACATCTGAGTTTCCGAAATGTAACCCGCAACTTTTCTAGGAGTTACAAATTTGAATTAAAAAAATAGCAGTAATTAAATAATAAAAACTAAATACTAATAAGAAAAAAGCACGAAAGTTGTTTTTAATGTTTGTTTAGTTTATTTTATTGTTTTTGGATATATATTGTTGGCAAATGGTGAAGTTGTCGTTGGCAAATGACACATAATAAAGAAGAATGATCTGTATATTTTTATATTTAAAATGCATATAAATTTCCTCTAAAATATTATCAGTCTTATACTGAATTTTGTCTAGACAGTTGCAATGATATTTTAACTTGATTAACATATCAAATACAGTTTCATAATGAATAATGAATGTGGAAGGCAACCTTCTGTACGAATTTTCTGGGCATAACGCTGAGAGGGATAACTTCCATAGCTTAAATTAAGGAAAGCACATAGGCAACTTCAACCATGAACATTTGAGGGCAACTTAAGAGAACTTTTTTTTTTTTTTTTTTTTTTTTTTTTTTTTTTTTTTTTTTTTGACATGCTACACGCCGAAGAATGACTAAATATTGATTGATTTTACATTTATGTTAAATGAACAGTGATTAAAAAAGAATAGCTGTAGATGTGTAAAAAACCTGTACATGTAACCTTCTGTATTTCTGAAGGAAAAGCTTAAAACGGTTCACAATAACGGATGGCTTTGATCATTCAGTAAAGTCATCGTAGGTACATTCATTTCACGGTTTTGAAGAACTGCAGTAGCTCAGATTTTTCGCAAAAGAGTAATTACACCCCTGGGGGACTGCTTTACTTACGGAATGGAAAAACAAGTTTTTTAAACATACGCATACAAAAGGCGTACCTTTTCTCACAAACATAAATGGCAGATGTGATAATTTGAACACATGCTTTCAATCAGTTGCTTCCTCCTAACAACAGGTTCCTAGCAAAGTCTTGTACTGTTTTAAATATGCTGTGTTCGAGCATGTGAATGCCTCCATTCATTATTTTTAATTTAAACAATATTAAGTTGTAATTACTGGTTAAAATGGCTTAAAATAAATTGATACATTATACGAAAGTTTGTAAAAATGAAAACTGGTGTCACTTCCTTTCACGTAATTCCTGACTAGCTCTTCCAAAATATTTTAAAGCTTACTTTACAACATACTAGAAAAGTCTACATTTTGGGAAATTCATTTGCTGTTTTTAGTTAGTAGTTTTAATTGGGGTTGTTATGTAAGAAGAGCATTTAACGTTTGTTGCTGTGTTTACAGTGCTTATTTTATTGTATAAGTACTTGTAAGGCAGCAATAATGCAAATATTGCTTTATTTGTTTAATATTATAATGCATAGAGGAACTAAAAAAAGAACAAAATTAATTTTTCCTTTATAATATGTCCTTAAATGGTTTCCAATGAAAGCATAGATAACTAAGTATTCACATTAATAACATTATATCAATTATTACTAACCGAATATGATAAAAATTTCAAATTCTAAATCCGTCTTTTACTGAGTACTTTTCTCAGAAAGAAAAATATCTTCAAAAAATCTATGCTGTTAATACATTTTTGGATAACTTCCTGAGAGGAATTCATTGATAATAATAATATACGAATCCATTAGGTGCTTAAAAGCCATGAAACAGGTAAACTTAACAACTCACTCGGCAGGCTCACAGTCATGGCCGGTTTGGTTTTTTCAAATACAGGAAAGTTATGAAGACTATCTTATCTAAGAGGAGAGATGCCTTCGTGGAGGATATTCTGAAGAAAGCTAGCATATTACACATGAAGAAAACCACGAAAACCAACCATGCAGTCAGTCCGTTCACCTGAGATCGAATTCAAACCAAGCCGAAACTACCAGTATTCAGATTCAGATGTCTTAACTGTTCGGCATATTGATGAGGCCTTGAAACACAATCATGAATCTTCAAACTTATTCAGCTGGACGTGCTGTTAATTCCATATATTCTCCTCTCTTAAAGACTGAAATTCGAATCATAGATCTTTCAGTTTACTATTGGACCTGCTACTACTTGCACCACCAGGGAATGCAAGGCAAAAAAGGGTAAGTCTTTATAAATGTACCAGCACGACAGCATTACATGATTTGTTGGACATCTTAACTTCGAAAATTATATGGAATGTATTTCCAAATGGATATTATGTTCGATTATTTTTTAACTTGTTGATTCTAAATCGATCGTCACCTTTTCAATCCAAAAAAATTTCGTATTATATCTAGATGCTATATAAATCATTTTATCTATATACACTAATTTACGAAATTTAACTTTTACATTAGTCCTACAGCAAGAAATTTCAAAATAGAAAGTGTTCTTTAACTGCAAAGCAGTTGTATGAATATAATAAGTTTCAGAAACTGTATTTACTATGATTTAAGGCTTTAAAATTTTAATATTTATTACAAAGATTTCAGGAGGACGTCTTGGCATTGAAATAATGGAATACTAATCTGAATTCTTAAAAAGTCCTCCAATGAAGGTATCCCTCCTTTTAGGCAGATAGCCCTAGAATGCTTTACATTAGTCAAATAAGCCAAAGCATATTGTTGCTGTAAAAAATATATATATATATATATTGTATTTTTCTTACATAATTTCGACTGCAAACGGTTATATTTATTACTACGGAAAGATTTTATTTTTGTGCTAAATTCTAAATGCTTGAATTTTTATAATACTCAGAAACAGAGATAACAAAAAACTAAAAAAATATTCATAATTTACTAGGATATATAAACAAAATAATCATTGTTAAATAGATTTTTAATAAGAATATTTTGGAAAAATAAATGATTAATGTATACTTTACGTCGTGTACTTCCTAAAAAGCTTGTTTGTTTTAATTGAAAACGATGAAACATTCTTTGAATCATCTGACTTAAGAAGTGGAATGCTTTCATGTGAAAGATTCTGAAAGGAAACTTGGCTCATAATTGTATTTCACACAGAGAAATCGTAAAAAGTTCCTATGTAGCCAGGCTGTACGCCATGATTTGAATCCGTATCGAAGGACCAGATTTTGTGGTCTTATCCAGTCGGCCATCAGAAAAACCCAGTTTCGTAGAAAACTACAAGAATCGAGTCATTAAATAATTTGCTATTACATTGCATCGGCTAAATAATTTCATGTCACATAGATTTAAAAATTTAACATAGCAACGTAAAGTCACATTTTCCTAAATAGATATGGGCTAGCCAATGGTCGAGCGGTAATATCGTTGAACATGGTAGTTCGACCCGGACTCAAGTTCTGGCAAACAGGTTGACTGTATGGACGCTTTGATGATTTTCCTTCTGTGGTTCAATACCAGCCAATTTCCCTTGGGAAGTTCTCCACGAAGACATACTTTCATTAGTA